TATGTGTATATATATGTATGTATATATATATATATATATATATATATATATATATATGTGTGTGTGTGTGTGTGTGTATAAATGCAAGTTGAAGTGATACAAGTAATTATACAGGTATTTAATATCCCAATGTAATGCTTAATGCCTCAAACTACTTGAAAATGGTAAAATATATCAATACGCAAAAGTAGGTTACTCCCCTTTAAGATACCAGTTTTGTAGCAAGATGGAGACGCTTGACCAAAGCCCACCAAATCCAGATGCTACGGTAGCTGATATCAGTGCCTGTCCAAGTCAATGTATATGAGAATACACTGACCTTTTCAGACAGTTTGAAGTACAATTATTAATAATTCTTATACGCAACAGAAAGTTGCATCGTAACAAACCAGTGTCACAATTCATGTTCAACAATGTTTCTGTTTAAATTCAATAGATATCATCCTATTAACTAAAGTTAATGAAATGCTATATAAAATTATCAATGGCATTTGGTTTGTTAGTATTTTAATGTCTGAATTTATGTATATTTGAGAAATTAGATTCAACCAATGGCAAATGTCATGATGTTTACATTATCATTACAATTAAAGCGTCTCCAGTCAAGTCTCCAAAATGGAGAGATTAATGTGTCATCGATTTCATAGGACTTTTTGTTTGAACAACTTCCTGGTTCAACTAAACAAAGCATGCTGCTATAAAAGCTGCATAGCTCAGTCGGCACAACTGGTGGTAGCAACTATGATCTGTGGAGTTACTATGATTCCGATCGCTACTTTCCTTAGTTTTCAGCTTGGGCTGGAATGCATGAAGATACAGCGCACCGTCTTCCGGAAGAGACGTTCAAGCCGTTGTTGTGACAATAAGAATAAGAGTATATGAAAAGTAAAAAACACACAAACCGGTATAACAGTATTATTTTACTCAATTAGGACACAAAGAGCCGATAATAAGTATTTTCCCTTTCTATATAATATTTAATTTCATAAATTTCTTTGCATTGTTCATTGCATTAGGCGCTTATAACTATAATATCATTGTAACAAAACTAAATCAATCATTCAACCTTAAATACGCACCTTTAAAGCTAGCTGTTTCACATTGGAGAGCTTTGGATTTGTGCAACGACGCGACGCTAGAACGGAATCACTCATGCGTGACCGTCCTAGACGTTAACGTTCTCGCATGCGCAGATGACTTTTAGTGACGTCATTACGTTCTACGTCCTACCATCGTCGTGCAATCGAAAGAGCCCTATTATCAAGTTGGATGTGACAAATATCCGTGATTTGCCAATATGTTATGATGACATCATAACACAGACGCGCATAACAAAGACGCGCATAACACAGGTATTTGTCACTTGATAGTGGGGACAGAGCACAGTGATGATACTAATGCTTTCCATGACTGGATTTTTGTGGGCGGGAATTTTATATTAGCGAGGGTGGGGAGTTAGCTGTCTCTTATACACATCTAGATGGGTAGTGTGGGTGGGGAGTTAGTGTGGGTGGGGAGTTAGTGTGAGTGGGGAGTTAGTGTGGGTCTTCAACAAGGGTTGGACGTAGAAGAAAAATTTCAAGTTCACTTAATACAAACAATAAGTTACCATAATTTGTTTTGATCACTGATTTGCATACACCCACCTGTATGTTCACATAATTTGCTAATGTCCAGGTGTACAATATGTTTCTTAGGCTCTGTCCACACTGTCAAATTGTATGCGACTAATTTGTGTAATTTGCCCATATTCGGATGAGATATGACATCATGAACATCAAGATGCCCATATATGTGTGTGACATGACATCACCACGCCTATATATGGGTATATCACACACTTGTCGCATAAAGCATGATAGTGTAAATGGAAAAACCTTTCCTCTACCATCTCAATCAAATTACTGATAAAATTTAACAACTATGATTTCCACATGAAATTTAACAGTAACACTGACTATCGGATACAGTACTGTATTACAATTATGTAATCTTAAAAGAATAGAGACTTGTCAACTGTTATCTTAAAAGAACGTTACGGAATGGAAAATACAGAATTTTAAGAATGTATTAAAACTTACAGATACTGTACATAATTGCTGTGTGCCATGGCAATTAAAATGGCAAATAATTTCCAAAATAAGTGACAACAAATTAAAAACCAATAAGACAAGATATAACTTCAGTTTCTACACATTCAACATTAACTTTCGTTGGTCTGTTTTAATTTTTAATTTATATATAATCATATCGATTTGAAAATAATTACTTTACGAAACCCTCAACAGTTGTCTGAAACTTTGTTAGTCCACATCACACAAATGACACTGTCAACGATCATGGTTGTATGGATCTTTATAATATATAAACAATAAGTCTTCAATAACTTAAGAATAAAACCATTAAATTTACATTAGATGAAAATATAAGCCAATTTTTATTTGTTTGTTGACCTTTGACATAGATATTTCGCAATTAAAACTACAAGAGGGCCTTTTACTAAATAAGCCAATTCGTAGTTTGAACAGCACATGCTCGTATCAAGGACAACAACATAGGTTATGTCGAATAACCTTGATTGACCTTGGATACAAGCATGTCCTGTAAGAACATCAATAGAATCCCCAAGAATTGGGTGGAAGTTTTGATTCTAAAAAATATAATAAAGTATTTACATCACATTACATATTATACTGTAGTCATATCAAAATTATAAAAAAATATTGTCAAATCATTTTACATTCATTTTATTTTGAATCAATACACAAACAATACCCTAATGACATCAAGGCCGTGCACAAGTACTAGTAGTATTATAATAGACAAAAGGATTTTAAGCGCAGTAAAGCAATTACCATGCTAGACAATTGCCATAAGTCTCTAATTTATTGATTCTTCCTAGTATTAGAAAATTTCGGAGAGCACCATCAGCGTCTATTTATGTCGAGAAACTTGTTATGTTGTTTGAATTTGGATGGGAATTAGGTCCTAATCCCAGAAAAAGTATAGTATGGAACAGCAAGCAAATACGTTTAATTCAATGGTGCAACTATGAGTAATACAGTTCCTCCTGATCCCTTATAAACTGGGGAAGCTCTGTCTACACTCTATAAACTTTTATGTGACAAAAAAAATGTGATGTGCCCATATATGGGCACGATGACGTCATATCACATAATTTCAAATTGTATAAAAAAAAGTCGAATGTGTTCAACTTTTTTTTATGTCCGTCAAAAATTTGTCAAATTTTTTAGAAAACACATTTTGACCAATAAGCAAACACTACAAATCACACCAACCAATTGGATTTTATAATTCAGTTTCATCAAAATACATCACATTTGATGTATTTTGATGATATTGTTCCATCGTATTTTATGTGACGCTTTTTTGATGAAATTTGATAGTGTACGCAGAGCTTTAACATGATGGGTAGTGGTAACAGAATGTCACACCACTGGCTTAATTTCACTTTTTTGGTTTCTGATATCTTTTCTACATTCACAGAACATGTTGGTGGGGACTAGGGATACCTTAATGTTAAAAATACTCCATTTGTGCATGGCACTGATCACTACTATAATAGCTTGATTGCTCCTTGGCTGGTTTTAGTGAGGCCCCTGACGCCATATTGGAGGGTCTCAGTGACGTATCAGCTTAGACAAGTTTCCAACATGGCGTCGGTGACCTCACTTTTTTCTGTACAAGGATTGACCGATGAGCAGAGATCAGTGGTGCACGGCCTTGTTTAAATAAGTCTATCTTAAAAAAGATATTGCATTTCAATTAACATTTCACTAGTCACATCAAATCAAATACAAATGGATTACAAAACATATACAGTAGTTTGTTAATAAATAATTATTTATAAGATAATTTTAAATACAAAATATTAGTCTGGTTTACATTCAATAAATTATTTGATATCAATCCAAATATGCCACTGTATACATTCAACCAATCACAAATAACTATGTATGGTGAAAGTTGACATTTCAAAGGTCATAGATCTGACCATATGGAAGGAACATTTCAGAATCAAATCTGAACATGTGACCTTGATAATGAGGTAAATTTTAATTGTTCAATATTCATTAACAGTAAAATAATTCACTGCACTAAAAATAATATTATTATAATTAAATATGGAACACCCGAGAATAAATAATAATCATATACAGTGCTATTGTTTTAATTTGATACATGTCTCATTTCTAAAACAAATTTAATCTCCACGAAAACTTAGCACCGAACAATTAATTTGCAACCCTGAAAATGTTTACTGAATTTTTATGCTTCTAGTAAATCCTATGCCCACATGAATCAAAATTTCTGTACTGACAGTGTAGCAATTTTATGTATTCAAGCTTAAAAAGAATTTTGTCTATATCATTCATTCATACAACTGAAAACATCTGCAGCTTGGACTTGCATCTGGTCATCACTGGCATCCACTTACACATCTTATCTTACATATTTGCCCACAATCATTCCTTCTATACCTGTTAAAAACATCAACATCCTGAGATCTCCATTCCATAGCAGTGTAGCAATTTTATGTACTCAAGCTTAAAAAGAATTTTGTCTCTCATTCATCCATACCACTGAAAACATCTGCAGCTTGGACTTGCATCTGGTCATCACTGGCATCCACTTGCACATCTTATTTTACATAACATTTGCCCACAATCATTCCTTCTATACCTGTTAAAAACATCAACATCCTGAGATCTCCATTCCATAGCTTCAGTTTAAGTCCAGGGCTATTTGTGTTCTTAAGCAAGGCACTTTATCTGTGGCATCTCTCTTCACCCAAAAGCGTATAGTGGGTTTGTATGTCAATATGGAGGTTACTGCAGTAGCTGTGACATGGAATTACACCATTAACGATACAAGTATGTGTTCCATAGGTGTTTGATCCAGTGGAATACATACTCAGCTTATTTGTGATAGTATGCGTTCATTACGTAATAATTAATAAGTGGCCAATCCAAGAGCCTTGAAAGGGGGGCGGGGTGATCGGAGGGCAAAAGTGAAGTGGGTCTCATTGATTAATTGAGGTGGCACTTCTAGCTCGCAAAGCACAAATAGTTTTGCTTCAAACATTTCCTATAAAGGGAAACTGTGGGGTTGTGAGCTACGGCATGCCCCCTCCCACTCATGAATACGCCACCGGTAACATGTTTAGTGCACACACAGACGCTTTGGTATTGTATACATCACCATTTTAGCAATATATTATTTACTAATATCATTGACTTAGATTAGAATGGAATGTGTGTGTGTAAACAAAAAAGCCAGGCTAAGGCTTTTTCAGGCCCTGCTACCCTGAGGGTAGATCACAGGTGTTACAAAAACACTGTGTATGTGTTCATGTTTGAGAATATCATCTAATTATGTCAAACTGCACTGCTGCTGCTTAATTGTTTGGAATTTTTAGAATTACTTCTTTGGCAAACTAATAGTACTGGGTTTATCTCCATTACACCGATCTGTTACCAGGCGTAATGCCCCCATGGTGTGTAGTGTTTTCAGACGGTCAAACTCTTCATGAAATGAATGAACTTTGTTGTCATACTCGTAAGGAATATCTTCGTAGTAGTGGTGTGGAATTCTCCTACTGTCCTTGTCAACATGGAATGGGTAGAAGCCATACAGGGTGATCTGATCACAGAAAGTGGTTGCAACTGTGTACATGTTTAGCCCAGTTGTTGTGTAGAATTCTTGCATTGACCAAAACCTTGACAAAACACATGTGATAAAGAATAGTCTGCTCAAAACTGTCATTTCAAAATAATGAAAAATATGTATAATTTTAGAAGGTAGCGCAGACACTGGCCAGGCTTCTATTTTTTGGCCGAACCTCCTTGTTATGTACTGAATATCCCCTTCTCTATCCCCATGACTTGTACAAAAAACCATTCCCTGAAACCGACTAGGACGCTATGGGGCCTATTTGCTCTCACGGAAAATTTCCCAAAAGTAATTCAGGTTGTATGCTGTAGTGTATGTGTAATTACAATATTACTTAAATGCCAGACATTAGATTCTCTGGGGGATGAGGTCCAGCCTTGTATATATCAATTATGGATCCTGACCTTAATTTTAATTTCAGAGCCTAAGGGACAGCTTCCCTTTGGCTGTTAATGTCGATCGAAAAAAAAAAGCTATTGGGCTTCATGCTTTCTTTTAGGGAAGCAGTGAGAAATTGAATAATTGGCTTCATAGAGGCCAGCCTGTCCAGATTAACAAACGTTATTTTACAAATACATGTGACATGCAATATGTTCATGGTGACATCACATCATGACCATATATAGGCACATCATGACCATATATAGGCACATCATGACCATATATAGGCACATCATGACTATATATGGGCACACAACAGTTGATAACCTGGACAGAGCTTAATAATGATTTGTACTTACCATTTAATGAGGGCTTCCAAGTTCCTCCAGCTGTACCCTATTTTAAGTGGAAGATGGTATTTAGTTTTCAGTTGCTTTGCTATATACTGCAGTTTTGTCCTTATGTAAAAGCGAAACCTTGTACCCTTTGGAAACCAAACTACGGAATCATTCAAGAATTTTAATCGGCGAAACATCATCTTTGCTACGGGATCTTTAAAGTCCCCAACTGACAAAATATTTGCTATTTGCCTGATTTTTTCAATATTTATAACTGTCAAATTTGTTTTCACTCCAACGTCTTTCATGTATGATTCAATCGGTGCAAAATTTGAACGCATCACAAAATCGTGGTTGCTATCAATTTCCTCCCCACAGCTGCTATTCAAAAGTATCCCACTATTTCCGATGATGGCGCAGTGATGTTGTCGTTTAACTTTTTCAAACTTGGCCGGCAACTCCTGTGGGGTGCCTGTCTTTCCATCATATAGAAAAGCAATGTACTCTATTGGATTAAAACCTTGTTTAAAATCTATATCATCCACATTGTTATTTGCAGCATATACCATTAGTGTATTTTGAGTAGGTAGACAATTTGATGACAGTTTTCTGTGAATAAGAAGAATTTAACAGATTACCAATAGAGATTGTTCAAGTACATGAAAAATCAGATTGAATAAACACAAAAAAGATGTAGAGACATATAGAGTACTACAATTGTTAAGTTACGATACCATGTGATACTACTCGGTTGCTATCGGTGACACAAAATGCGTTCAACCGATGCCATTTTCTCCACTGACAAACCATTGATCCCAATTCTAAAGTAATTATTAAGAAGTTGAATCTTAATTTTTCCTTGTAAATGTTAATTGATGATTAAATGTGTGTTCATTAACTAATATAATGCGAGCTTTTTGTGTTTTTATTAAATTTTGATGGTAAATTATTAGGTTCTAAAATGCCTATTCCAGAAAGCCTAATTCTAAACCATTAAGATTATGAAGTCATTCAGGCGTAATAAACGGTAATCAACGTCCAGAGAGCGCCACCTGGTGTTGTGACAACATGACTGTGGTACTCTATAGTACACAACTTGACTGAAGGAAGTAGCCACAAAAAAACCACAATTGTACCAGTGATGCAGACTGAAGGTGTGCATACACTGTACCCTGTTTTACTCTGAAGAATATTTTCATATCTAATCATGAAAACTGGCTGAAATTCTTTCTCAACATAGGAAAGCAACATTGTTAAAAATGTAATTAAATATTCACTAGTATTATTGTTGAAATCAACCTCACAGGTGCAATGTACTGCCCTACTTATGCACCCCATTTTCTTTCCCTGAATTACATAGCCATAAAATTTAGTATATTCAGTATAATTCCATAAAGTTGTTGTTTTTTGAAATGGCAAACTTTACCTTATTTTTCTGGCAGCTACTGTATTTTGCACCCAGGTTTTCGATGTATTATTGAGTTTGTTAATAAATGGATACGCATTCATTTGAAATCTAAAAACAAGACAAGTAAAGATTAAAAAGAGAACATTATTAGTGGCAAGATTCAATTGAATATCCCTTATTGTTTTGTTTTTAAGTTTAAATACGGGTCATTCAATTTCAAATCTATCACTGGCTGAACCACTATCATCTATAGCTGTTTCAAACAGCAAATAATCAATAAAAGAAAATATATCTTTTGCAGCAAAAGTCAACATGGGAATAATCTTACGGTTGACAGTGGCGTGGTATTGGATACGAGATGGGAACATCTATGATCAGGTACATCATGATGGAAGCCGACACGAGGCAGAGAAAAAGTGCTGGCTTGAACTTGATTCTCGGCTTTCGTACCTTCATCTTAAAAACTTCATATAAAAGAAAAAATGCAGAGAAAACATGAAAGGTACTGAAAACACATGTACAGTATTTGTATTCTATTCTGTTACTATTGAATATTATTAATCATTCTCATTACCATTAGCCATATCTTCCATTGCTGAGAAGCTCAAATAAAGCACAAAGTCTGAAAAAAGACACCAAAATCAGTCATATAAAATAGTTCATAATAAGAAAAAAAATTTTGATGATAAGAAACAGATGAAAGAGGGCATCAACCGTCACCCACCTACTCAGTTAAAAAAAAAATTAAAAAATTTGTATCTTATGATATTATGATATTATTATTATTACTTTTGTTTACTTTTGTTGTTGGGCTTGAAGCTAAAGCTTATTATATGCCCCTCTTGGTTGGTACTCCCTCCCATTTCCTCTCTCTGATAGGGATTAAATTAAACTTCAGGGAGTGGTTTGACCACTGTTTCTCAATCTCTGTTTTAAAATTAAATTGCTTGAACCATACATTCTCTAGTTTTTCTTCAATACCATTACCTTACTTACTTAGGAGAGGACCACTCAAGTCACGCCCACCACTACAGCACGGCGGGGAATCCAGGTTTGAGGTGGTACTACGGCAGTTGTGCCATCATAAGTGGTGGGTACAGGCCTAGGCCGTAAGCCTAGGTTAGAGAAGGGAGTTGTTATGGTTAGTTACAGTAGGCCTCTGTACTGACTAGCCTAGCTAGCCTAGCCTCTATAGGTTTATCTAGCCTAGAGGCCCTGGGGTCTTACTTGTAGGAAAACCAGCAGGAGCCTACACCTAAAATTCGTTCGTTCGTCGGTATATTTACCTTTGTGACTAATAACTGTGTTTTCATTCGTAACAAGAGTCAAGTTTGTAACACCATCCCTACGAGAACATCATGATCTTGTTTGTGATGATCTGGGGACTTGTAAATACTGTACAGTTTTTCCCATCCCACATCCCATATTTGAAAATCTCTAGGTGGCGCCTGTTTAGTTCCATGTTTTCATGAACAATAAACAAATTAACTCGCAAGTTACAGGCGGATTTCACATGGTATCAAAGAAGGTGCTCGCCCATGCAGCAGCGTTTCAACCATTTCTTGTGTTTATTCTCCCAGTCCCTGTCCCTGCCCCTTAATTTTCACTTTCAAATTTACATTTTTTTCATTTAAAACTGAAACACTTCTTTCTTTCTTTATTTTTCAAATTATAGATCCACTATAAAGCAATTGAAAAAGCAAAATTATGAATAATTATTGCCTCCAAAATCTTTGCTGTTAAATTTTCTATCAAAAATTAAATAGGAAACTTAATTTAAAAAATATATAATCAACCTCGTATATCCTGGTACTAGAGGAACTAGTCGAGTAGTTTAAGTTTCGCTTTCCCTTAGATTATACGTATCTCTTTTTCTCTTTTGAAGTCCCTCGGAAGCTCCATATATCTTTACACGTGTCGTATTTGTTTTGTAACAAAAATAATGGTTGGATTTTGCGAACGCAAAAAGGTCAGAAATCACTGCTTTATACATTAGTTCACACAAGCCATTGTATACATTGGGCCTATGGTTTATGGTCCTTATCCCAGACTTGTTCTACCACCAGAACCATAGGCCATAGGCGAGCCAAGATAATGGACATTTTCAGGAAGCTCTAAATTTGAATTAAAGGTGGGATGATGAAAGTAGGACTGTCAGACAGGCTGATCAGGTTGATCAATTTCATTGATGAAGGTGAAGGTTTTCTTTTCAAAATTCTAATCCAAGTTGGAAGAAATCTCTTCCGTGGAACATTTATTTTGCTGTCCATGGCAATACCTATTGCTACTGACTTCCGTGAGAGTTAATAGTATAGTAGTAAAAACATGCAAATAATACGTTATGTTCAGCATGGACGCAGTGGGGACGGGGTGGGGTGAGGGATTGGTCCCCCACGTTTCGACCTCAATGTCATAAGTAAAGATGAGCCTTGTTGAAATGAACTGGATAAATGACCCAGGTTTTAACCAAGAAAAAGCGCTTTAGGCTTTAGGGCCAGCCTGAGTACAGTAGACCCTCTTATAGCAACACCAGTATCACTGAATTACCTATAATACAGGACTCGAGTGCGCGTAGTATGGAAAAAAACAGATTTTCGGCACACAAAGTAGGTAAAGTAAAGCAAATACATCAAAGACACTTGATTTCCTACCGTACAATACAAATGGCAATACAGATTAATTTGATCTCTATGCCAAAAATAGCTGATTACAGATCATGGTGATGTTATGATGATGACTTACTACGGTATATTATAAGAGTGTCATTTCCGGCCAGCTTGAGGTATTATTTCCTCAATTTTTTGCACCTCAGCTTCAACTATATAGGGCTAGGGTAGATGTCGGCTCACGGGATGCGCTACGGTGCGATTGCAACCCGTAAATTGTATTAAGAAAAACAAAATTTTTCATTGTATTGTTGATGTATTATTTTTAGTGCTGGTAGGATTTTTAAAGTAAGCGAGTGCAATTTCCGGGCACCTAGAGGTCCATAGTCTCAAAATTTTCCCACTCGTTCCCAACCATGGTTGGGCTGAGGTGTTGGACTCTCATGCACCCACTACCGTCAAATCCTGCATCCGCTTTTCGTTTAATTAAATTAACTGTTCCCTGGTCTTATGTTTCAGAAAAGATGTCTGCTGCCCTCTCTAGTTTGATTTCCATCATTGCATAAAACAAGCTCACTGCGTGGTGTTTTTTTTTCATATAGGCCCCCCTAGTATGTTTTTTGATTTGGCCCATTTGAGGGCACTATTTCCTGTTACTTATACACATCTAGATGTGTATAAGAGACAGCTATAAAGCAATTGAAAAAGCAAAATTATGAATAATTATTGCCTCCAAAATCTATTTGCTGTTAAATTTTCTATCAAAAATTAAATAGGAAACTTAATTTAAAAAATATATAATCAACCTCGTATATCCTGGTACTAGAGGAACTAGTCGAGTAGTTTAAGTTTCGCTTTCCCTTAGATTATATCCGTATCTTTTTCCTCTTTTGAAGTCCCTCGGAAGCTCCATATATCTTTACACGTGTCGTATTTGTTTTGTAACAAAAATAATGGTTTGGAATGTGTATAAGAGACAGCTTGCATACATTTTAATTAGGATACAAATGTCCTATTTATTCAGCCTTTAAAACAATTGTTGAATATAATGCCCTGGTTTGAAGAGGATTTAAACTAAAAAAAATCCAAAGAAGGACGTTTAGAAAATTTATCTTCCAGCGACAGAACAACCACGAATTATGTTCTTTTTTTTTCTCTGCCCACCCTTGAAATCAATCCGTGCAATAGTCAGGGTGAACTCTTCGTGCCTGGGTTATGCGATCGTGTTAGTGCCCTTCAATATATAGTTTAAATGTCTTCGTTGTATTTTGTGTATTTTCTACTTTTTAGGCAACACATTATTGGTTATTGGTTAAATAAAAAAAAAATTAAAAAAAAGAAAAGAAAAGAAAAAAAAAACTTTTCCTAGCTCAACCTAGGAGGCCTACCCATTTTTTCGGATTTTCCCAAATCGGATTAAAATCTGGCGGAAATTTGGCCGATATGTCCTAAAAAAAAGTTTTGCCGAATTTTGGCCGTGAGATGGCGTGTGTTTGCCCGTGAAGCGCAGTGCAGCCAGAGATAGAGCCGTAGCTGAGTAGCTGCCAGAAGCCAGCGTGAAGCCTTATGTCGACTAGGCCTAGCCTATGTAGGCTTAGACCTGTCTGGCGACCCTGACTACTACCAAATTACGGAGCTCTCACAAATAAGTTGGTTCGACTTTCTATGTTATTTATTTAACTATGTATATTTTTGTAATTCAGTCAACAATCGAGGTTATACCTCAGAGTCAAATATGAACTCGCCATTTTTCTATGGCCTACCTAGCCCCTAGTGGCCTAGTGGCCTAGCTAGCCTAGTAGAATAGGATAGGCCTGTCCTACCTAGGCTATTAAAGGCCTAGTCAATCCTAGGCTGAGCCCTATTCTAGGCTGCAGCCTAGGCATGTCTACTACTACTACTAGTAGGCCAAGGCATAGTAGTAGTAGTCACCGTAAATGAAAATGTACAACAATTAAATATAGTAAAAATGTAAATATAAAAAAAAAAAATAACTTTAAAAATAATACAGACAATGAGGCTGAATGTCATAGAAGTAGAGAAAAAAAAATAAGCCTAATAATAAATAAACCAGATATGTAAAACTTTACAGATAATGTGACATGTTTTCTATGTTGCCATTATAATAAATTGGTGATGATACTCTGTAAATAATTTATGCCTATAAAAACCATCATATCTCTGGATTTCTCAGGTTTCATTTGAATATACTGTACAAAATGTAAATGAAGGAGATGATGGTCATGACTGGGTCAGAGATGAGATTCAAATCATTGGTGCACATATGTGCGTCAAAAATTACATCAAATTATCAGATGACCAAAGAGGCAGTAAGCAGTGTTCCGCATGAATTGTTCCAAATCCTGCTAGCAGTGGCCGTTTCTAATAACCAAGCACCAGCAACAAAACTTCTGGTGTCCAGATGGCCGTATAAGGTGCTCAATTTATGTAACGTTCTGACAAGTGACACCCAGCTACAATTTTCATTGGCTGATATTACTACCCAAATAATGGTTACAGTACTGAGTGCTGTAGTTGGTACCAGCAGCTGCCAAGCAAAGGTGGTTGACCTCCAAGGTGTTCGACTTAGTAAGTGTAACCGGTAGCTAAGTAGTCATAATGGACCTTTCCACTAAGCCCTGCCCATTGGATATTGTTGCTAAGGTCCCACAAAATGACACCTAGCCCTGTTCTGATTGGTCAGCTGTAAGTTTGATTGACACTCCGGAAAGGTCCATTAATAAACAGTTGTGGCCGTCAAGTAAAAGTTAAGGCAAACACACATAGTGGATTCAATTGAACTACATTATTTGACTTATTTTTTAATTATTTTTTTTGATAATTTTGGCACAAAATTAGAAGATGAAATGTTACAATTTCCAAAAATTGTCAGAAGCAAACTGAATCCTTTAAAGACAAACCTCATCCTTCTGATGGGCATTAGGCTGTAGGTACTGTGATAGCACAATGCATGTAAAAGTATCACATTCTGTGTTTTGTTCACTTGACACTATCAAGTTTTTTGTGTGACAAATGTATCTGAAAACAGCTTAAAATTGCTAAAATTATCCATTTTTTTAAGGCACCAAGGGGCTTATCTGACAGCTTCTATTATAGATTCGCTGAAAATTGTTAGACCCCCTGTAGAACATCTAAAGCCCCTACATCTGAAGTCCTGGTACCATCACCACAGCTCTCCCTACATTAGTCCAGATTAGTTACTTTAATTTATTGCATTTCTAACATTTATTTTCTATGATTCATGGGTTATTTTGTTTATATTTTAAGGATGTGTTGACATGGCAACCTGTTTACATGCAATGATCAATGCTTTCAAGACAAGCTCAAATCCTACGTCAGGTGAGTAACTTAGATTTTAAAGATATCTTCTTCTTTTCGATTTGAACTTTCATCATTATCATTTAAAAGACCACAAGTTACAGTGGCGTATTCACAGGATGCAAAATAGGTGCTCGCCCCGATGCCCACACCCCCTCAGCAGCAGCCTGGCAAAACCTTCAAAGAGAAACATTTCTTGTTTTTATTCCCCCAATCCCTAATATTTCCCTGCCCCTTAATTTTCACTTTCAAATTTTCAATTTTTCTTTCAAAACTGAGACACTTCCAATATACTTTTCTGAAATTATAGATCCATCACTAAAGTTTAGATTGTGTTTATTTTCTGCTTAGATAAAGTCAAGGTGATATTTGATTGGACAGTTGAAGAGCAAAATTTCCATATTGTCTCCAAAGCAATGAACACATTTTCAGAAAGCTGTAAAGTTGAATTACAGTGTGGGAAGATGAAAGCTGAAGGACTGTCAGAAAACAGACTGATTAGGTTGATCGGTTTCCTTGACAAGGATGTAAGGTTTTTTTCTGTTTACAATTTCGCTAATAATATACCCTAATTTCCGTAATTGATACCTTGAGGCGAGGCTCCGGAGGAAATTTTTTTTTTTTTTTTTTTAAAGACACAAAAACCATATTTGACAAAAAAAAATCTTGGAAGCGGTTAATGTGATACAGATTTTTGAATATTTAAGAACTTGGCTGAAAAGGTGTAAAAATGGGTGGTTACCCTTTTTCCCCAGTTTTTAAAATATTCCAAAATCTGTATATCTGGCTTTAAGTGGATTTAGAGGGGCGGGCTGGCCTCGGTCCCTCTTTTGGAAAGTCAAGAAAAAAATAAAATAAAAAGAAAAAGGAAAAAATGATTGCCCAAAAGACCTCAGAGGTTATTTTCAGGGGTGGGGGGCCATGCCCCAGACCACCTAGGTTGTTTTTATCTGGATTTTCCCCTTCCGGGGGCCCTTTTCCCCTTTTTGGACATCTCTGGATCCACTCCTGAGATCACACCATATTGCTTTGAGAATAATAATAATGATCAGAAATTTCTGATAGACTATTGCCTTGCAGAATAACTATTTGTTGTTTATTCTCTTAATTTCAGATAGCACATGGCTTAAATCTGAGTTTGAACAGCCTTAGCCATTCTGGTCTGAAGATGGTGTTACCTCATATAAAAAGATTGGAAAATCTTCGTTCTGTGGACCTTTCTTACAACATTCTCAATCTTCCACGTGATATCAGTGGTGATGTCTGCAAGTGCATTAAAGAAGTCTTCAGCAGCCTACCCAGACTGCAGGATATATCTCTTGGCTACAACAGGATTACTGGCAGACTAATGGAAATTATGAACTCTTTACAGTCTCCAGTTCGAAGTTTGAGATTAGACAAATGTTTTCTAAGTTTAGGTGATTTAAGCTATATGTCAAACACAATGAACACAAGTCATCTCAAAATGTTAGACTTAAGTGGCAATACTCTCTCCAACTACATCAAGAGTCTGGAAAATGTTCTACTTAGATCCTGCCATTCTCTTGTGCAATTGAATTTGGATGGCACATCTCTTGCAAACAATGATCTTTCATCAAACATGCTAAAAAGAACGGCAGCAAGCTTTAAGAAACTCGCGAAATTTTCTATCCAGTATAATGGTTTTGTTAGTGTAGAACAAATTGGGATTGTGACTGCGTATGCTTCCATACCGACTCTAAGGTTGATAAGGATAACGGTTCAAGCATCGTCAGAGGTAATCTATGGAAATGAATTCTTGGAGGATGTTCTGCTTGGGGGTAACAGGTTTAGTGTTTTGTCTGAATATCAAGAAGCTTTGGATCAACTGCCTGGTGACAAGTCTCGTGTTTTGACTTTAGAAGTAAGGGATGAACTAACAGGATGTTTATTTGTTGATGCACTTACCTTTAGACTGTAATTTGGTTATTATATAAAAGAGGACAAATTTTATTAGTACTTTACCAGTATTTGATATAAGAAATATATTTATTTATTTTAAATAAATTGTTTACTACGCAGTGATTTGATGTTAGTCGTGTCTCACATCGTTTACTGTCATGTTTTCGTGTGCTCAAAAGTTAAATACTGTACAGTATTTCATTTTTGCTTGTTAAATTTAAACTCTTAGATTGGCCATTACTGGTACACCTCACTCCTTATAATAGGCTCCCAGTGGGAGCATATCTACGCGGGAGACCAACCTGAAAAAAGGGTAAAGCCTGGCCCGAGTGAGACAAATCTTCTTTATAATACAATATCTCATCATACACCTGAACAGATTTACTCTCAAATTTCCAAACAATTGTACGGATGCAATTGCAGCTCCGTTTGCGGTGCCGTGTGTTTTAATCAATATAACTTTCAAATGAGAACAATTCAATATCGGGTTGCGTTGTGTTTCTGTAACCGCATGCGCTTATTTTAATTGCTCCATAGAGTGATTCATCCATTTTGATTTCAGCCCTCTGTTTGGTAACATCAACATGCACGTGCTCTGTATAGATGAAATCACTTAAAATGCACTATAAATGCAAACACAACCAGAGCAGGATTTGCAATGAACCTAAATTTTTGTGACACTGGAACGGCAACCAGGCAAATGAATTCTTAGCTTAAACCTAGTTTCCATACAATCGCCAGCAGCTTGCGGTGATGCTGATTGGTCAGTTGAATAAGGGAGCCTTCCCGATTGCATCTGGAATTGCTACACAGTACAACAATTGTGCTGAAAACGCTGTAGCAACAGTGCAGCGATTTTATGGAAACCAGGCTTCAAGAGTGTATTAACACCCGCAGGGCAGTAGACACAAAATAAAGATCCAGAACAACGGTAAATAATGGGAAAACCTTCAATGAATTTATTTAAAATGTACAGTATTAATACTAAATTCTACAATATATAATTCATAACATTTCACTAACTTTGGCTACAATCTCAAGGTGTCTGAATATACTACAGTTAATTTATCACTGTTAGTGTTAATTGGAAGAGAATTGGGTAAACTGCAAGTTCAGAACAGTACAGATACCTACTAGTTTACAGTAAAATATACAATAATTATTTGGTTACAAAATCATCAGTAGCTGATAAATGGCAAACTTTTTCCACCCTCAATATTTATAATTGTCATTAATGATAAATGATACATTAATATTTGGTTTCACTTTTCCTCTATTTCCTCCATATAATTATATATGTGCATTTTAAAACTGAATTAATTATTTTATTTGCATACTTTCTCAAAAGATGATAATCCTTTAAAGAAAAATGTTATATTTCTGATAAATTTCATACAAATGTAATAGTACTATTGTAATTTGAATGCAACAAAATCACTTTAAATACAAACCAATAAGATAAAGTTTTGACCAGTACTTAAAAAATACAGTTTGTTTTTTTGCATAATGCTTGCCCCCACATTTCTTTGTTGGATGTGATGTCGTCATTTAAAGAACAGCTGTGTATCTAGGAACATTTCCAAACAGTAATGGCCATATTTCCACCAAAAAACATATACAGCAGGTTTTTTGTTTCGTGTGTGATTTCAAATCCAAAGCCTTCCCCTACAATTGCATGCCATGAAGAGCCAAACTTCTTGTCCATTGACTCTTTTATAAGTTTTGCAGCACTCTGAAATGAAATAAACATTTTATAAGGTTAAAAGTGATCAATTTTAATGATGATACAGGGGTGGATCCAGAAATGTTCAAATGGGGTAGGGGGAGGTGACACAGCATTTTCAGAATAGATTAGTGATTAGCACTTATTTCATTAATATAACATTGAAATGCGTGAGGTGGCAAAACATCCCCCCAGTGGCGGTGGCAGGGCATTAAGCCTCCCACCGGACAGGTCAAGCCCCCCCGTCAGACAGAGCTTGTCGGGCAGTCAGACCATAACAAATATAAAAATAGTTCCACACCAAACCAAAACATTGTCAGTCTGAGAGTGCCATTTCCAGCCATCCGGAGGTTCCTATTCTCGCATTAATCGCATTTAGGAGTAAGCCCAGATCGGGCCCATGAGCTTAAGTCCTCGCCTGTCGGACAGCTTAGCCCCCAGAAAATATATCCTAGGGCTGCCACTGCGTGCCCCCTACTGGATCTGTACCTATGGTCTGTTTATTCTGCCACACTGACAAGCCCTGCTTTAGCTCTAAACAATATAAAGAAACTTCAACTTCAGCACCATCAATTTTTGTACGCTCCATTGCAATTACATAACATTTCAGTGTTTTCAGAAATTTAGGTGGTCTTTATAATATTAATATGATCATAATTTGGATTGTTTTTGTAAGTAATTAGACTTAAAACATTCCTACTAACAAAATATAAGAATAAATATATAATAATAAGTAAAAATGTAAGCATTTGATATCAAAATGAATAAAAACAGTCAACATTTGAATTATATTATTTCCATATATCCATATTACCTCATTATTATTTGCAAATTTTTCACAGGCTGTGACACACAATTCCATTGTTTCTGTCCTCATCTCTTCATTCATATCAGAATGCTGTAATGATAGAGAAATACTAATTATTCACTTTAAAAAAAAAAAAATTCGGACTATCTGGCTTCAGATCAGATTGCTTTTTGTTTGTGTTAGGGCATGGTTAGGGTAATTTATTTTATTGTTTTCCTTGTCTAACCCTTTTCAGTTTCAAGTACTGTACCTTCCATATTTGTAATTCAAGTGTTGAAAGTTTAGGCTCTGAGGCCCAACTAAATGAATACCTGCCTATGAATGATTAAAGATGTATTATCCCTTGCTAATGTCAAAAAATCATAAAAAATAATTATTAAATAAACTTGCTCATATTGCATTAGCATACAAATTATTAACTAGTGCATAAAAATTATTGAATTTAAAAAAATGTGTACCCTGATTTTTAAACCAAAAAATTATAATAAAAATAATATAAAACACTTCCAGTGACTGGAAGTGTTTCTATCATTTTTTCTGTAAACTGATGGGTAGACACTTTGAAGTACACTAATTTCTATGTTCAACTTTTATGTTACTTCAAAATGGGCAAGTTAATTTTAAAAAATATTTTTATGATTTTTTTGTATTTAGCAAAGGACAGTCACAATACATCTGTAATGACAAAATTATTCCAGTTCAATGAAAACCTAGGCCTACCTAGTACTCAAAATTATAATAGAAATGCAACCGAATTACTGTACATACAACTTAGATACGACACACAGTTTTCGGCGTCGCAATTACGCTAGGCTAGATTGCTACTTTGCCAAGGAAAAACACTACCCTTTTAGAGCGATTAAATTAGGCGTAAATCGATGCCAGTGCTTGGTTGAAACCGAATACCTACCCTAATCAATGGATAACTCTGTAACCTCCGGTAGTCGGTCTCCTTTTCGTCTTTTTTTCCTTCTTGTTGTTCCTCCATTTATATGCTTTATAAGCTCCACGTAAATTCTGATTATTTACTTCAAAATGTCACTAAAATTATTTTCAAATAGGAAGAAACTGAATGAAACAAAGTTGTTTTTCTAACACGCCTCTCTCAGAAAGCAGGTTCGTATTTTTGTTGTAGTTACTGATGATTTGAATGGCGCTCCCACGCATGCTCACAGCATTTTCTGGTTCACTAAACTTCCTGGATTAGTAGAATAAAAATAAACATGACAACACATGCTGAAGTGCAAAAGCTCATCCTTCGCATCCTTCGTTGAGATTCAGCAGTGGGCAAAAGCATGGTAAGAATATCAATGTAGGTATACTTCTCGTCGACTGTAATATTATCGCCGGTTTTGTGCGTTTATGATTCAGTTTACCGTATGTTTGTTTATTCAACGAACAGCTAGGCCCTAGGCCTGGTCTACGTGTGTGTCTGTCAAAACAAGTAGGCCTTTACACGGCTTTTTAATATGATGGGATGATGATGCCATGCGTTGCCAATTACAGTATTAGCTTGTGAAGAATTTATCAGATAGGCCTACGGACCGGTTGTAAGTATGCATGACAGATCTTCACAAATTGATTTTGCTTGTGTTTGTTGATCTGTCCATGCTCAAAGACAGTTTTTTGTCCGGTAACAAAAATTATACTGTAGTGTTTACATGTATATCGTACTTTATATTTTCTCTCACAGGAAAATCAATCATGGATCCTGAAAATATCAATGATGATTTGAAGGAAAAATGGGAATTGTAAGTTCTTTATTAATTATTTAATCAGACATTGTTCCATCAAAAAAAAAATCGTGGTAATATCATGATAATAATAGAATATGATACAGTAACAGTTTGTTCCTGACAAAAGCATAAATAGAATATGAGTACCGGTGATTCCAAAGAATGACAAACGTGAGGCCATAATTGATGTGTGTAAATTATTATATGATTTATACTTGTAATAATAATTATATACAGTCATTAGTAGGCCTATACAGCGGTTCAGTTGGAACACATCGAAATTAATTAAATTCTCAATTAAATATAAGTTTTAGACATTAATTCAGAACCATTTCCTCGTAACCATTCATAAGGCTCATTCAGGAAATTGAATTTCAAATCTTTAGAGAACAGAAAGAACTAAAAACTAAGCTAGTGTGTGAAGATGTGGAACCATGGCAACAAAAAAGTGATTTTTCGGGTCTGACCTACGTTGGCGGTGTTGACCTGTCCTTTGTGAAGGGAGACGACATCAATGCTTGTGCTTGCTTAGTAGTCTGCAGTTATCCTGATCTGAAGGTAAGTTGGTGATAACATCTCCTTACATGAGTTGTTATATTGCAGGTGGCTGGACCTAGGGTGAGAAGTCCATGTTCTCTGGCAGGGGTCTGGCGATTTTCTGGTGGAGGCCAGTGGGTTCCAGGGGTAAAAGTAATTCTGCCATGTTAGGTACGTGAAAGTCCATAAAAAGCAAGAACATTGCCAGTCCTGAACAACATACTTTTGTTCTCTTCTTAATGTTGTAGGTGGTGTACAGTCGCTGCAGACATATTCAGTTGACAGCTCCTTACATCTCTGGATTCCTGGCATTCAGGGAAGTTAGTTTCCACATTGAGAGCATTGAAAAACTAAAAAAAGACAACCCAGAACTTCTACCACAGGTTAGAATTGCTAAATGTAAAGATGATGAAAATGATGATAGTTTATTTATTTTGCTATATAATTTATAACTGGCAGCCAATGGCTGAATTTGATTGCATTGCAATATAAAAACATTTAAATACATTAAAAAGGAGGCATTGAAGTGGATTGCTATATGCATTAAGATTACCAACAAAAACTAAACAATTACTATTAGGTGGCATTATTTTCTGTACAAAAAATATAAATTCTATTATATAAAAATAAATCCTAAATTACACATTATTAATTAAGGCTGATAAATTGACAATTACTATCCTATCCTTTATCAGACTGCACCAGAGGAAGCCAGCATAGACTGAAGCTGGCAAAAACTTGTGTTAAAACTAATTTAAGTTAGTGTGTAACAAAGGGCTACTAGTCATGGAAAAATACCAATAATTTTTTTCCCCCTATACTTCAGGTGATATTTGTTGATGGTAATGGAATGTTACATCCAAGAGGTATGTGTGATTGAATTCCAAGACTTTACCTTATGGACAAAGATCATTGCCTTTTGCTTCTTACACTCTGTGGAATGAAACTCCAGAATACATCAAACAAGCTTGCACACTAGAGAACTTCATGGCTTCACTCAAAACACATCTCTTTCTTTTACTGCCCCCACACCCCTCCACTTCTTTTCCTCCTTAGTGTGGTTGTAAAGTTCATTGAAGCTTTTGCATTGATGGGCAATATAAGCGTAACTTTTTTTATGGAACATATGGTACATACACCATTATTAACTCTTTGTTTGATTTTGTTGTTATTGTAATGTTTGTTTGTTTTTTTCATATATATATATAGAATTTGGTATTGCCTGCCATCTTGGTGTTATAACTGGCATGACAACTGTTGGTGTTGCTAAGAAACTCCACCATGTTGATGGTATTGAAAAAGATGCCGCACATGGTGAGAAGGTAATGTTCTCGACACAGTTATAATAATTATGCTTAATTTTGTATTAACATTTGAACCATGGCAGCCTGTAACACTAATACATGTAGTATAGTTTATCCTCCAAATTGAGACCACCTCTGAGACCTGAAAATTGGGAGTGGTCACATGGTATGGTTTCCAATTAGAGGGTTAGCTTTGTGTTAAAAGATTGTCATTTGTGTCTTTAAAAAAGTGGTCTCAAATTAGATGGGTTTCCTTTTACCTCTCACCCCAGAAGTATAATACTAATAACTGGTAGGGTCAATTACCAATGTCCTAATTTCTACCCAGTTTGTTAAGTATTTATGATGTATAGGCGTCCAATAACCAGGATAAATGATCTGAAGTACATAGAGTTATTGACATTGTGCACTATACATACAAATTATACCCATTATTATTATTATTTGAAAAAGGCACAGATAGAGCAATTGTTTTATTGTGAGCCATCGAATTATCATTTTATGCTGTACACATTAATTCTTACTGTAATGATATAATAATTAGTAATTAGTATCTACATTATAAACATATTTTACAGATTAAACAGCTGATGAAAGGTGGAGAATCTTTTCCTTTAATAGGAACTTCTGGCAAAACTCACGGAATGGTAAGTGTAAATTTTGTATTATGTCAAATCATGTAACAGTAATCAAGTTTGAAAAAGGCACCAATGTCACGTTAATTATTTTAAAACAATAAGCCAATTCGTAATTTGAACTGCACATGCCCATATCCAAGGTCAATCAAAATAAACTTATGTTTTGTGTATGTTATGTCAATTGACCTTGACATGGACATGCGCAGTTCAAACTACAAATTGCAATTTATCTATGTTATTTTAAAGGTACTGAGAGTCTGTAACGAAGCTCCAAATCCAGTGTATGTGTCTGTGGGACACAGGATAAGTCTGAAGACAGCTGTACAGTTGGTGCATCGCTGTAGCAAACATCGGATACCAGAACCCATTCGACAGGTACATTTTTCTTTAGTTGGTTTTACATATATTGAATTAAGAGTATTTTTTTTTTGTAAGTGTTTTTGTAGTTGGCATAGCAGATGGATTTTGGAATTCAAACCTTGAGGTCAGAGGTTAGAATTCAACACTATCCAAACTTGTTTAAAGCCACTCTTAAGCCCCATCTACACTATCAAATTTTATTTCACAAAAAACTGTTGTATGCCCATATATATAGTCTGTATGCCCATATATAGTCATGATGTGTCCTTATATAGTCATGATATGCCTGCGTATGGTCATGATGTGATGTCATCATAACTATATATAGGCATGTCGCATGTTTTTGTCAAATAAAATTTGATAGTCTGGACAGGGCTTTATATAGTATATTGAATGGGGGTACCTGATAATGGTGTCACACAGTGGTTAGAACGGTCTCTTGACACAGAGGAGCCCGTTTTATTAGCTAGTCTGCAAGCGAGATGGAGGAATTTTCTGCATTAAACAGGGCCCCATAACGCACATCATTACATCATTTATTTGTTATGGTCGCTCTATAACTATTTGCCCAGGCCCGTAGCTTGGGGGGGTTGGGTTAAGGGGGTTACGACGAACGGTCAAAAAAACTGGAGAAGGTTCGCATTTTAAAACGCAAAAATTGATATTTGTAGATATATTTACAATGTTCTCCAAAGTATCGGAGATCATACAAGCAAGAAGGTCCTGAACAAACCTCCCACAAATTAAGTCACGCTACAGGCCTGTTGCCACCAAACATGACACCACTGTACCTGGTTTCAAATAGGTAGAATAGATATATTTAGCTTGTTTACTTTAGCATGATTAGAAATACTCCTCCAGGAAAACGGTCTTTATGTCAATGTGCAATTTAGTAAAAGGTAGTCTTCATTTTTTAGGCAGACATGCAATCAAGAAAATTTATACGCGAGAAGTTTGGACCAAAACAGGAACAGCCACAAAGACCACCAAAAAAACGAAGTCCAACAAACATTAAAATGGACAAAGTAGCTTCACATGATAATGTTGATGGTGATTACGAACCTCACCTGGATGCGATGGCATCACTTTTTGAAGGAGGTTACTGAAGAACATTGGATATATTCGGTGCGAACATCATGGATTACTCACAAAAATCTGCACGACTTATTTGCAATGGGGCCAATACAGCTTTTGAGAGCAGCAGTGTTTCTAGGATATACACAAGCCAGCCTGCGAATGTATTTAGGAGGGGTCTTGGGGTGGGTGGGTGAAGCTCTCACCATTTAATGCCTTTTTTTTTGTCAGTTGCAGCTGGAATGACTGCTCCTGCTGTGACTTGAGCTCAGGTGAAATTTGTAAACATATTCAAATTATTTTTTTCTCAGGTACAGTACTGTATTGCAGTGTACTGTATTTTTAAAAATTATTTTTTTCTCAGGTACAGTACTGTATTGCAATGTATTTTTAAAATTCTGTTCTATGAATGTATATAGAGTAAATTTTTAAATTTTCTTATATCCTAGGTAATAAATTTCTTACTGAAAATTTAAATCACTATTTTTGGTGGTATGGGTAATATTTTATTCCAATATTTGAATAAAGTTAAATATATTACAGTAGATGTTTTCTTGTATCAATTCTATCTTGACTCTCTCTTTACCCAACAAGAAAAGACAAGATGCATTATTTCTTGTAGAGCTGATTTATTTATCATAACAGATCATACACATGTTAAGATGGTCCAATCACAGAGACATAAGTAAAATCTCCATGGTCAATTAAACAGTTGGTTTGTTTTTTTTTTGTACTTCCTATATTTTTACATAATCCCATCAGAATTTGGGTGGCATAAAAACAGCTGTTTAGTTCTTGTAGCCACGACTGGCACGACGACCACGAGCACGCTCGAACTTCCTGCCTTTGGAACGCACATATGGCCCTGTCTCTTATACACATCTAGATGTGTATAAGAGACAGAAGGTAATGTTCTCGACACAGTTATAATAATTACTTCGCTCTTAGTTTAAAAAACAAACATTTTGCAATTTACAGTACAAAAAAAATCAAACATTAAATTACAGTAATGGCACATGCTTATTAAAGGAATTCCCCAATAAAGGTGATACATTAATAGGCACAAAGTGAAGGAAAACATATTTGCATTTTGGACAGCCCCTATTCAGGAGATACTTTTATCGGTCCCAAATATATCCCCATTATTAGAAGGTTACTATATAAACAATTCCACATTAAATTGCTTGGTTTATCAAGTTTATTCAGGAATCTGAAATAGAGGGACCGAGGGAGGGACTTTCACAGGCGGATGGTGTGAAAAAGTATGATTATGGAACCTCTAGATGAAGGAAATGGCATTCTCAGACTTAAATTTGAATACCGTTATCTTTTTTTCATTTCTTTGAGGGTGGTCCTCCCCCTTTGAATCTGCCACTGGCATTGTTCTTCACAGTTGTGCATTACCTTGAAGGAGGACAGTATTCTGCCCCTTTGGAGCCTGAAGTGCCAACTGATCGAACGTCATTATCTCACCACCAGCATTCAGTATCCTTTTTCTGGCTCCACCTGTTACATGCAGAGCACATACCTAATAATTTTGAAAATAATAATTAAAATAATAAGAAGTACATGGCATATTACAGCATATAATGCCAAATGAATTAACATTCAGTCAGGAAATCACACCACAGCATTGTTAACCACAATACATTATTCACAGAATGCCATAGAATGGTAAATTTATATATTATTTAGTGTTTATACATTTCAAATATTTAGCACTGTACTTTCTTTCTTTGATCAAAATAATTGTTCCTATTGATGGACCACCATAAGTAAATAATTCTCCATTTATCTTCCCGTTCCCTGTGCTTCCCTCCCTCTTTACAGATACATTTATCTACCATTACAAACATTTTTTGTAGTAGCCTACTGCTTGAACATTGATAGCAAATGTCATGGAGAAGGCAGTGTTACATTCCCAATGATAATCCTGTAAAGGGTGTACATACAAGGTTTTGATATTTTTGATTATATTCCTCATAAAAAAAACTTATATTTCAAAATGCACCATTTACCTTCATCTTGGGGAGTGAAAAAATTCGAAGATCGTCTGTCACTGTGCCTACGATCACTGCTGTTTTATCTTTTCTGTTGGCTAGCTTCATCTTGCGGGCCTATGCAATGAATAAAAAAATTAAATTATTTGACAGGGTGAGATTGTAACAAAAGGAGAGGTTAGAAAAGGCGTGTTTAATTGTTATTTGCAACTGCGTACGTTCACGGAAATTTGTGTGAAGAAACTGCTTGAGCGGAGGGGCAACTTATAACTAGGCAAAAAGCCTAGCCCATCATCAATACCGTTTTGTGTCTATACGTTCCATCTTGTGCAGGCTCATGAAATCATACACGTCTTATTTATATACTAGGCCTAGTTCTTCAATCAGTGGACGAGGATAATCATTAGAAAATTATTATTTTCTCGTAGTGCATAAGATAGTTAATACAAATTTTACTTGATGTTGATACTCAATAAGCCGGATGTAATGCAAACACAGGCCTGGGCCCTAGTAAGTGAGTAATATAATGGTTGTATATCATTACTGTAGTACTATTAAAAATAAGACTGATATTTAAGGTGGTACAGGCCTAGGGCTCCTGCCCTACACTAGGCCTAGGTGCGTACTTCGCGTCCGAAACCGGTGTACTTCTGCGAGTCGTGACCGTGTAGCCTCCCCACCACCTAATCAACTGAAGAAATATAACAAAATAAAGATATCTTACCAATCGAGCAACAGACATAGGTTGCCTATTAGCCCTGCTCATAAACAGACGCTTCAATACGATCTTATTGAATTTGCCATTGGTACGACGAGCAAGGAAACGGTAGAGTTTGACCAGGAGCCGTAAATAGATATCCTGACTCTTAGGCTCGGTCCTATGAACCTTGCGCTCCTTCTTGTGGTCTATGTCAATACCCTTCAATCAAGATAAAAAATAATATAAATATTATTAATGAGTCGGTAAAGGCTGTAAAATGTATATGATACTTAATATTACAATGGATTATGCCAGATTTTAGTCGTCATTTCATTTGAAGCACCTACCATCTTTGTAGATATGGCTGAAGAGACCGCTATGCTGCCCTCAACGTTTGTATATTAGCAGTTGTATGTATTAGACTTCTGCCATCAACTCTAAATTTATACTTACTTGGTTCAATTTTTTATCCTACAACTTATTGAATGCGTATCATATTATTCGGTATATAAAAGAATACTTTTAGTTGTAGAATATTGATAAATACAAATAATAAATTCAACCTACATAAACAGCCCAAGATGAAGATACAGAACTAATTCTAAAACGTCTGGTCCCGAAAGTCCATTGTAAACTTTAATGATGGCAGCCGACACAGTCAACACGATCGAAAACGTGTTGAAAAATATCGACGAAGAAGCTAAGAAATTTAAAAGTCTAGTTGTAAAGAAAGATATAGAGCCTACTCTTGACTTAGGGAACCTTCTAGTCTGTGATTCAAATCCCATTGTAGGATTTGAACAAAGGTAAAATGCTCACTTAAGATTCCGTATAGCCCAGGTAGGCCTAGCTCTAGTAGTAGATAGACCAGCCAGGCAAGTGGGGAAATCACGCCAACATTTCCTGTCTGCATCATGTTTGCAGGCGATTCTGTACTGTGTGACGTGTAGACTGTAGCACAGCATAGAGGGGCTAGTGGTACCAGATCTGATGTACAGTAGGGCCTGCTATTAATTTATACAGTAGCGCAGCAAATTTTTCCGGTTACTGACTCTCGATTTATGAGAATTAATATGAGGAATAAATAAGAAGATTCTAAAAATTATATTGAACCACTCTGTCAGTTTCAGACTTCGGTCTCTGTCAATCATGCAGCGTATCAAATGTCAAAACAACCCATAAACAATACACTCGTAGAATGCACGATATTAAAGTTAGCCAGTCCATAGGCCTTTTTCACAAATCAGTAGACATAATATATTTAAGTGATGACGAACATTGCAAATCAGCGGTGCGTAACCAACAGAAATAAGATAAGCTTTTGGGCTGATTTTCTGACATGATATTTAAAAAATCACAACTCCATAACGGGGCATCGTATCCAAAAAAAATTTCCAGCAAAATGTTCTTAAAACACTAGTCTATACCAAAATGAAAAATGTTTTTGACCTCTGAAATGAAGATGGAAAAAGAAAAGCCTATCTTAGTAGTGTATTAAAATAGGCATGTATTACAGTGCAGTAGCATAGGACTTTCGTGTTGTTACTGTTTCAAGTAGCAATAACATACAGATTTCTCTTATTATAAAGTACAAGTTATGTTTTATAAAGAGGTATAGCATAGTAAATCATGTTTTTAACACAGGAAACTCTCATATGGTAACTAAAACAATGCCAGTTCAGAGTATTACTAGTACTATTGCACTGTAATGCATATACCTATTTTAATACACTACTGAGATAGGCTTTTCTTTTTAAATCTTGATTTCAGAGTTCAAAAAAAATTTTCAATTTTTTTTTCAATCATATAGTGGTGTAGAATAGTCTTTTAAGAACATTTTGCTGGATAAATTTTTTGGATACGGTGCTCTGTTATGGAGTTATGATTTTTTAAATAACATGATGTCAGAAAATCAGCCCAAAAGCTTATGTTATTTGCGTTGGTTATGCACCGCTGATTCGCAATGTTTGTAATCACTTCATGATGTCTACCGATTCGTAAAAAAGGCCTATTTTGTGTGAAGAGTATTAATATCAATCACATCAGATTCATTTTAAAACTTTTTTTTTTGATTTTCAGAAAAAACAAGAATGATTTTCTGACAGAATTAGCAAGAGAAAACACGCAATTGCTATTTAATGAAATATGGAAGGTGAGTGCAGAATCTAAGAGGGAAGATAAATACCGTATTCTCGCATATAAGGCAATCCGCGTAGCTGGCAAAACACGGAGCCAAATGTATGTGCCTGATTTTTTTTTTTGAGTTTTGAATCCTCTTTAAGGTTTTGCATCTAATTTGATATTTAAATTAAATGACTGTTTCCTTTTCCAACAGCTTCCTGCACAAAGAACAGAAGATGTAATAACAGTCAAGGTGAGTTTATTTTATGTAGTTAATAATAGTTGTGAATTTATATAGGGAATAATGTACAGACCTCTATGTGCTTTTACAACCAGAAATGCAATAAATTTAGGCGATAAATTATTCAACGATTTACAAAGTATTCTAACTTTCTTTAATCCATTCAATTTAATTTATATAGATTAGGACTGTAATTACAATATTGTACTTTTACTGATTCTGTCAATGATTGCAATATAAATGGAAAAACAATGAAAATAGATTATAAATATTACAACTATTTTGTCACAGAATTTAAAATTTAGAAATACTTATGATTATTTGACAGCTTCCAGAACCAGTCACCAGACTTCCAAGAGAAAAATCAGTAAGTTGAAAATCATAGCTATAACTTTTTTTATCTCTTTAATTAATCCCAGTGACCACCAGTCTTATTTTCCATACTGTATTCTTGTTCCCATTGGTTTTTAAAATCCTTTCATTATCCATTTTAACTTCTTTACCTATCCATCTCTTTAATGGATATTTCCACTAAGCCCTGCCCTTGGATATTGTTGCTAAGGTCAAACAAATCAACACTGTTAAAACATACGCAAACACATGCGTTTGTGGGATAAAATGTGTGCTTGTGAGACATGCCTGTATTCCTGACCCTGTTCTGATTGGTCAGCTGTTAAGTTTGATGGACACTCTAGAAATGTCCATTTCCAGTCCATCTTCATTCTGTCTATCTCTATCATCATTTCTCCTTTATTTTATCTGCATCCCTACTATCCTGCTAACTATAGTATCCTTCTTTCCCGTCTGTTTAAAGTCCACCTTCAGTCCTTCCGTATTGCTTTTCTTTTTTCTTCCACAATCCTTTCAATAATCCCAAATCTACTGTAGTGCAAAACCTTGAATTTAATCCCTGGGCATTTGTTTTTTTACGAACTTTGAATGGGCTTCTTTTCGAGGCTAATTTGCAAAGTAGAGGAGGGGCTAATGCTATAAATTTTGGGAATTACTAATATAAAACAATAAATAGGGACACTGTATTCTGCATCATGGAGTGTATTAACCATCATTAAATCACCTAAACTACTGTATAAGCCAAGCGTGTTTTGAATTTATTTTGTTTCTTTGAAATTCATGTACAGTGTATGTACTGTGCTATCTCGAAAAAAAGCCTTGCTATCTTGAACACAAGCCCACAGGCTTCTTTTCGAGGGCTACTTTTGCATACTAACAAGGGGGGGTTTCAATTCAAGATAGGCTTCTTCTCGAGATTAAGCCCCTTTGACTTCTATTCAAGGATTTACGTTATCTTATTTCTCAATCCTTCAAATAATCCTCAGTCCATCTTCATCTTCATTCCTTTCCCTTTATTATCAATCCCTTTTAATAAACTCGGTACTCTACATTGTTATCCGTACAATCCTGCTTACTGTCTTCTTTTTTTGTCCCTTTTAATAATAATATCTTCAATCCTTCCACCACAATTTCTATCATCTCTTCCCATCCCTTTTAATGATTTTTACTCTAATTAAGATTTCTTTTGTAAATACCTCTGGTTTTCAGTTTTTCTGCTATTGATTACTTTTTCTTATTGCCAGTAGAAGTTACATTTTTAAAAGGCCCTTTATGGCTTCGTCATTCATTACAGCACTTACTTAGTGCTATTTCTTGAAGATCAGAGCACTTTTGGGGGTTTTTTTTCAATTTTGTATACAGTATTTGCTAAAAGGCTGTACCAATGAAATACATCTAATTGAAGAAAACCAGGAAAAAATAAAATAAAACGCAAATGAAGCCAAACATCTCTGTTTCCCAGGAATTTAAGGCACAATATTATCCTCATATCCTCATCACAATTGCTCTCTTTCCTTTTATTATCATTTTGCTTTTCATTGTCTTCACATTCTACCTCTTAATAGAAAATATCTGACATGGACTAAATTATATAATTGTTTTAATCTTTAGATTCCAAAACCTAAGGCTACAACAAGGTGGGAGAAATTTGCACAGATGAAAGGAATACAAAATAAGAAAAAGAGTCGCAAAGTGTGGGATGAAGAATTACAGGTAGGTTTGAAAATAATAGTTCTTAATTGTTTAAGATTTAATTATTTTGACTTGTATAGTTATTGAAGGTTAAAATAAAAAATATTCAAATCATTCATTGATGTATACAATTTTTGTTAATTTATTAAGGTATGAGCAATGTCTCTTGCATATTGCACTGCATAGCTAACAATCTACTTGGGTTTTTTTCTCAGAAATGGGTGCCAAGATGGGGATTCCAAAGTAAGGGTGACCTTAAGAGAGATTGGTTATTAGAGGTGCCACAAAAAGCAGGTAAGCATTCATTAATAATACAATTCTTTAAAAAAGTTTCTGTTCATCAAAAAATTCTTTTACAAGAATTGCTGTTTTTCCTGTTTCGCAGACCCATATGAAGATCAGTTTGCTAAAAAAAAGAAAGAGAAGAAGGAACGTGTTGCAAAGAATGAACTTCAAAGGCTCCGGAATATTGCACGCAACAGCAAAAAGAAAGGTAATTATTTATGATTTATATTCTTTTACTCACATTTGTACCCACACCAGTTGCAGGGGCGGATCCAGAAATGTCGGAAAGTGGGGCCAATCAAGATAACACTACCCTACCCTATGTGGTTTGGTGGCATGCCCCCGCAAAATTTTTGTTTTTTAGATGGCCCAAAAAATAATCTCGGAGGTGTTTTGGTTGATCATTTTTTACTTTTTCTTTCTTTTTTTTTTTTACTTTCCAAAAAGGGGGAGGGAGTGGGGCCGGCCCCAAGTTACAGGATGGAACGATGCCCTACGTGTTATGTGCGAGTTATGAGGCATAGGGAGTGGAATTGTGAGGATAGCAAACATCCTGGCAATTTAAGGGATTTGAGCCCATGCCCATGACCACTAGACAATTTCTAGGATGAACAAAATATATTAATGTAGTATTGCTTTGAATCATGCTCTATGATGACACTCTGTAAATCTATGTCACATCACATGACCATAAATATTGTTATGGTTTAAAATCTCATAAATTAAAAATAATGTTGGATGTGTTAGTATTTATTTCCAATGTTTTACCTTAAATTATTACTTCAAAGCAAGCAAAATTGTGTCAAATCACCGGTGTCAAGTAAACTCAAAAAGTATGTCAAAGGTTATGTCCTTAAGTGACAACATCTTCTCAACTGCTACAATGTGATATGACCTCAAAGTTTATCAAATGACTCAAGTATCTAATAAGGGGGCAGATCCAGAATTTTTCAAAGAGGGTGGCATCAAATTCTTAGGATAGATAAGTAGGAAGTCCTAACTGTA